ATCGCCGTCCTCCCGAAACTTCACGCCGTGCTCCTTCAGCTGGCCAGACGACAACAGGTTCGCCCGCACACCCGGGACGTACAGCACGTCGGGGATGAGTACCTGCTTTCCGGCCTCGCCTTGCAGGGCGACCGTGCCCCGGCCCTGGACGTCTTGCAGCGCCCCATTGAAGCCACGCACGTGCTTCACGTCGCCGCTCGGCCCCAGGTCGACGAAGGCGTCCTTGGTCCCCATCAGGTGGTGGGAGCAGCCGCTGTCCAGCAAGACCACCGCCGGGTTCGCCTGCACCGCTGCTGCCATCGCCTGGAAATCCTCTCCGGCCTCCGGCGCCAGTGAGACGGTCGGCTCCACGACGCCGACCAGGGAGCACGACGCCGACTTGTCGTTGCTCCCCTTGCCGCTAGCAGAGGAGTCGGCGTCCTTCGCCGAGGTCGACGACTTGGTCGACTGCTTCTCCTTGCGCGGCTGACTTCCTCCTCGACGAGATCGACGACTGCGAGACCTTCCGCGACCTCCCTTGTCGTCGTCGTCCGAGTCACTGCGGTCGGGGCACTCGAAGGAGAGGTGGTCGGGGTCGCCGCACAGCCAGCACTCCCGACGTCGACTTCCTCCTCCTCGACCACTGTCCTTGGTCGACTTCTTCTTGTCGACCTCCTTTGTTGACTTCGAGCCACTGCTACCACCGCCACCTGATTGTCCACGCTGCCCTGGTCGACCGCCTTGCTTCGCCGGGGCGACGAAGTTCGCCTGCGCCAAGAGCTCCTGGGACCGCTCAGCCTCCTGCATCGCCTCGTCCTGCAGGATGTACGAGGTCAAGTTGTCCTCGTTGAGCGTCGCCCTTGTGCTCGGCGCCATGGACAGCCGCTTCAGCAAGTTGTAGCTGCTCCGGAGCCCCTGCATGACATGGGTGATGTACGACGCCGTCGAGTACTCCGCACCGGCCATCCTGATGGTGGCGAGAATTCGCCGGGCCCGGTTGCAGTAGTCAGTCGCCGTCTCCTCGTCGCCCATGCGCAGGTGAGTCAGCTGCCCTTCCAGTTGGGCGATGAACAGGTCGTCGGTGACTTGGTAGGTCGACTCAATGAAGTGCCACGCCTGGTGGCCGGCGTCGAGGTACTCCCGGCACCACTTCAAGGCGATTTGCACGCCCGGCGAGCAGCACCGTGAGATGACCGTGAAGGTCAACAGCTGCACAGCGCGGAACTCAGCTCGCAGGTCGGGATCGCTCGGCGTCGCCACGGTACCTCGAGCAAAGCTGATCAGCCCGGCCATCTCCAGCTGGGGCTCGATGGCCTCCTTCCAGGTGAGTATGTCGGGTCGACCAACCAGCGGGGGAGTCACCGAGATCCTATCCGGCGTGAACTTGAAGTAGCCGTAGCTCGGCGCAATTCCGCCCGCCGTCACCTGGGACGCCGACATCGGCGTCAACCTGCTTCGTCGACCTCCGACGTCGCCCTGCGAGGTGCCCGCAGCCGACGTCGACCGAACCCCTCGCCCTTGAACGCCGCCGACTTCGTCGGCGTGAATCACACCACGCTGCCTCGACGTGCCTCCCGCACTGCTGCCGACCTGGCCACCACCGGCGTTGACGCCCACGTCGACGCCGCCCTCGGTGTTCACCGGTCGAGGAGAAGCAGGCCGAGAAGGGTGCTCCGTCGCCCACAAGGAACGGATGCCAGCCTCGACGACCGCCCACGGCAGGTCGCCATACTCGTTGGCCTCGTGCTTCCTCCTCGCGTTTTCCAGCCGTGCCTCCAGGGTGTCCACCACCCCCGTGTCACCTATGGCGCCTACCATGGCGACTACCGCACAGCTGCCGGCCTACGAACAACTTAGGTAAGGTGCAACTAAGTCGACTAGACTGAAAGGTAAGTCGTTGTGCCGTCCACGCTCACCACACCATGCGGAGATAACTCTAGTAACGGGAGCTAGACTGCGGGCTAGGCACGGGTGCTCGTGTGATCTCCGCGTTCTCTGTTCCTTAGTCGTTTTCCTAGTGCACACACTGCTTGCTAGTTCATAAGGCAATTTGGCAAGAGTTTCACTAGAGAAAGTTGACAATAATGGTACAATGAAGTTGGCAAGACTACATCAGAGCTAGGGTGCAAGCAGGTCGACTGCCAGCGCAGCACGGTCGACCGCGTGCCAGCATGACTTGGTCGACCGCGCTCCAGCAGTGCAGAGACGCGGCTTGCCAACGCTGCAGGTCGACGGCGTGACAACAGCGCAAGTCGACGGCGTGCCAGCGTTGCTCCTGCAGTCCAGCATCGCACCCGCTTCGCAGGTGCTCGTAGATGATTGGCGTGCACTGCTTCGTCACCTGCACAGCGCACACACCAAGTCAACCTCGTGCTGACGACTGCATCTGATGCACCACGTCGACCTCGGGATACCATCACCGAGGTCGTTCTCGCCAAAACCACCTGGGCGACCATCGCAAGCCTTCGCAGCACCTCGTCACCCAGGTAACCTGGTCGACCTTGCAACCAGGTCGACCAGAGGCTCCAGTGCGTGCCCGTCGACCACCCAGGTCGACGACCACTTCCGGTCGACCTCCCAGGTCGACCACTGCCTCTGGTACGTGCCGGTCGACCTCCCAAGTCGACGGCCACCTCCAGTCGACCTCCCCAGGTCGACCACTACCCCCTGGTCGACCAGCTCCAAGTCGACGTCACTCCTGGTCGACCAGAAGGCCTGGTCGACCAACCAGGTCGACCAGAAGGGCTGGTCGACGTCCCAGGTCGACCACCTGAAGTTGGCGCCCTCCCGAAGTCGGCGCCCATGCAGTGGCTCCCCGTGCAGGTCGACCAACCTCGTCGACCAGCCCGCCCACTGCTGCAGGTCGGCTGCACCCCTACACCCGACCACGAAGTCGGATCCGCCCAAGCGAGGACGGGGCCAACACCCAACTCCCGTTGACAAAAGCCGACTGTTCGCAGTGAGGGAGCTGCTTGACAGGCTTCGTTGAGCTGCAGGGGTCACTGTGGTCTTGCCGTCGACCAGGAATGCTCGACGGCCTTCTTCTGTGGGGCAGCTCGACGAGGTGGCTGTCGACCTGCACAGGTGTCTCACGGGGCTGGAGCCATCGACCAGAGAGCTCGATAGCTGCAGCTGACAGGGCGGGTCCACGGGTGGGCCTTCGACCAAGAGGAGCAGTTCGACGGAGAGGCCGACGGAGCAGTCCGTCGACCTGACATGTGAACGGCAGTCGACGAGGGGAGCTCGACGACAACAGCCGACAGTGCTGGTCGACGGAGGGGTTCGTCGACCAGGGTGTTGCTCGACTGGAGCGGTGGTCGACCAGAGCACCTGGTGGTCGATTAGAGCACCTGGTGGTCGACTAAAGGCACCTGGTGGTCGACCAAGCACCTGGAGGTGTCCAAGTCGACCAGGTAACCTGCTCGACGAGTTCTGCGGAGGCACGCGAACATCGTCGAGGTCGCGGTGACGAAGGCGACTTCGGCATGGTATCCCGAAGTCGATGTGGCTCGTCAGGCGCAGACAACAGCCGACGGATGCACAACGATGCAAGTCGGGCCAATCGTCTGCGCGCACCTGCGAGCGTGCGCACCGCTGTGTTCTGCGGGGCAACGTATTCACAGAGCAGATTGGCACGAGTTTTGTTCGCAAAAGTTCAGAACAATAATGATGTAATGGCAATGGCAACATGGACTAAATCAGAGGCCTAGCAACCTAGCACACAAGCAAGTCGAGGAGCAACATAGCAGAGGGGCGGCCTGCCAACGTTGCAAGTCGAAACCGTCCAAGCACAGCTGAGTAACCATACCATCTGTTAAAACTAAGCTTGATTTGATACATTAGTAATGAGCTCAAGACTTTTTAAGTGCATAGGAAATGAGCTAGGAATGGATGGGGAGGGAATCGGAGCAATCTCTAGGGGATCAGGGGCAAACCTGGGAGTACAGGTATTCTTACGCTGTTGTTGGTAGGCTAGGATAAAGGAAGGAAGATCGACTAAGATCGAGCTGAAAACTGAGGTCAATTGAAGTGTCCCGTTGACCTACAACCTTTGGTTGCAAATCATTCGCGATGAACACATGTGTTCGACGAACATGATTGTAGAATGAGGTGAACTCAAGGCACAATGAGAGAAGAATATAACCTTCGTAGGAAGATGGTACAAGCCTGGAAGGCTAGAGCAATGTCCTTAACCAGGATGAGTTCTAGGGAAGTAGAAAGCCACATATATGTGGCTGAACCCTTAAGGCTAGCTGCAACACCTCAAAGCTGAGGGCAAGGCTAGCCAACCCTTGCCAGGCTAGCAACTGAGGCCTCGTGTTGCACATGTGGGCCAGGCTGGAACAACAGCCTACATGGCAGCAAGGTGAGTATGGGATAAATGGTCAGATGGCAATGCCAGCTGTGACCACAATTCACTGTGGGTGAGTGTGGTGGAGTGTGGGCGTACATTCCTGATGAGCATAATGGGAATGTAAAATGTAGCTATTGAGAGTTGAACCCACGACCTCTAAGACCAAAGATGAGAATCTACCGACTGGGACATTCTTGCTTGCACAACAATGAACATGATTGCGTTTGACGCAGCTCGGCCACCCGCGATGAACCAAACACGAACATGTTCAGTCGAATACGAATGGTTGAGGCGACTGGTTGCTCGAGCCTAGTGGGTGAGTTAGAGGGGAAGGTGATGTGCAAGGGATGTTTGGGGAAAAGGTTGTACATCTGATATCTCGAGGAGGAGAGGAGGAAAGGGTTGTGGAAAATCGAATTTAAGTGGAAGCAAGAGCTATGTTAATCGAATTCGAGTGGAACGCAAGGGATGTGTGAAATTGAATGTGCCTACAATGATTGGTCCATTCAAATGAGTTCGTTGAAGTTCATTTATTGCTCAGCTGCCTTCTATCATGCTTTTCTCATCCCCCAATTGGGTCGGTCGTGTGTGCTTGCTGCCCCTCAGTCCTTGCCTTCAATTCTCATCTCCTTGCATATCCCAACCTATACGATGCACGCACACACAGGTCCCTTTCATACAACACTTTGACGGGCTCCATTTCCGATGAAATCTACGGCCTTGATCAGCTTTCTTTTCTGTATGAAGCACCTTGTTCAAGTTTAATGTTAGGCATGCTTGATCCAAGATCACATGAACTCTATGACCCGCACGAGAAATCTTTACAACAGGTGTCATATGCAAGCACGGAAATATGGAGTTCTGGGTAGCTAATACATATATGTTAGAGATTAAGAACGTGGTCTATGAAGATCAAAGGCCGAACCGAAATATCTCACAATCGTCGGACTATATTTCTGGACAGAAATGTCGACTTCACAAGAAACGCCGTCGACGAAAATTTCACCGTTAAACCTTCACCAATCTCAGATATGTTGTAGCTCTAGACCGTGCTATTCTCAATTCAAATCGCACAAAAAGGTGAAGCATTTCTTGAATTATGAATTTCGGCGCACTAGGGAGTATGTTGGAGATTAAACTTAACTCAATCACAATAGCTCTCAAGAACCAGACAAGAGAATTATAGTAGTAAATAACCAGGTAAGATGGAAGATGAGGACGAGAAGGAAGGTTCTCAAGGAGTTCCAACCAAAGAAACCCCACGAGCACACCAAATTCCTTATAGGCTCCTCAACTTTACCCTTTGTCATTTTCTCAACACATGCAATCCACCTCACCCAACTTGACCACACCTGCCAACCTGGTTTGTCTTCTCCCAACCACATGGCATCAATCTGCAGTAGAATGACGAATTTTCTCAACCCCCAAAAGTCTATAACCCATATAGGTTCAGTCCACAAATTCCCAAAGTCGCCGCATCACAATCAAAACTTCGAACGATCATATTTATTTTTTGTTTTTGCTCCGATCGCGACGTTTCTTGGTTCATCGGCTCGAGCAAAAAAGTCATTTCTGATATCTGCTCAAGCAACATATCATTCACACACACTAAGAGAATCCAAACCACACCAAATACAAATTCTTGCACACGCCCACACCACACATGCAATGCACGAACATATGATAGGAGGCAGATAGACGTGAATACAAATGATAACATCACATAACAGACCATGCCATTGACACCCAATAGAGGCTGTATATCCCACAACTCCTCTTCATGGCCGTCCCCTTCCGAACCCAAGTTTGACGAGAACCAGAAAAGAAAATGATCGAAGTGGGTTTGCGACTCGAGCCATTTTTGGCAATCAGAGTCGAACATCAAGCCTTTTGCCTCGAAACGAAGTGCAATTTAGCTTTTACTCATGTCTGAATATCACTCCCATCTCTTGGCATGAGCATAAATCCGAACCTGGTTTGGCCTGGGGCAAACCGGCCTGGTTTTCCACCCGGGCCAAACCTAAAAAATAAGGATTCGGCCCGTGCCGGGCCAGATCGAGGTTGGCCTGCCGAACCTAATGGTTCAGATTCAACCTGCCGGTAAACGGGCCGAACCGTTCGCCACTCGTCGCGGTCCGACACGGGCTGAAATGACCCGGGTTGGGCCCGCTCGTTGGCCTATGGGATTGCCTTTTCAGTGGTCTCAATATCTAATTTGATGCAAATCTTGGCGCGTTGAAGCCGAAGTGCCTACACGGCACACCCCCAACCAATTTTCGCATCCCGACGGAACTTCACTGCCTTGAATCTAAAATCACCAACCAATGGAATAATTAAATTTAGATCTGAGGATCTGGCAAAGTTCAATTTGTCAGATTCTAGATATTGGTCCGAGGCATTACGTTTTTAAGATTACAAAACCAGTAGCTAACAAGTGTGGCTTTCCATTTCAATTTTAAGATGATTGAAGCTTAGTACATAGCGATAACATTTTAGGGTTACGAATCCTACAATATAGTTTAACTTGTTTGTGGTAGTACCCCGGCCCAGGTCAGCCTTTGTAATGGGTGAACAAGGCTGGGCAACGGCTTGGCCGGCCCCTGACGGGCCGAACCTGGTTTGGTCCACCTTCTTTGCCGGCCAGGTCCGGTTTGGTTTGGCACGGGCTTAACCGGCCCGGCGAGGTGCTCATGTCTATCTGTCTCCCAGCATGCTCTTCTCATCCCCCAATTGGGTTGCCCTTGTGTGCCTGCTGTCGCTCACTCCATGCCCTCTGTTCTCACCTCCTTACTTATTCCGTCCCGAACAATACCATGCACACACAGGTCTCTTTCAAACAACAGGTTTACAGGCTCCATTCCTAGCTACTTATTCATGCTCTCTCAGCTCGCTTATCTGTATGAAGCACCTCGTGACGTGCTGTTGTTTTTTTTTATCAGACATATGAATGGGCATTTTTTATGTTCTGTTGTGCATTTTATCAGCAATATGATATGGTCGAACCGAGTCACCATTGGATCGACCAGTCCAGCCCTCATGTCACAGGCAGCCTGGATCTATAGATTATAGGCCCGTGTCGGGCTTCTTCCCTGGGGTCCTGACTCGAGGTCGGGTCGACCTCACCCGACCCGTACGTACTGTAGCCTCTAAAGAAAAGTACCGAATTGTCTACAAGTATGAATCAAATACTGGCGGATTTGAATCGGGTATAACTATGCACATTCTACGGACATAAAAAAATGTTGTTGTGTAGAAATTATTAGACCACTTGATTTTGAAACAAGGTTTTAAAAAACGTTCGATATTCATTCAAGAAACATCTGTATATAGTTTTGGCTGTACAAGATGCTTTGCTTATGCTTTACGGATGCTTCTAAGGTTAACTTGTTATATGTCGTCTGGTTAAACATCACATGCTTGTGCAAGAACTGAACATGCATTCCAGCATTTGCTCATGTCAACCTCAGTTCATGCTCAATATCCTCATCTCCCCACTTTTTCCACCCACACCAAACACACACAGGTCTTTGTCAAACAACAACATGAAGGGCTACATTCCCGACAGGATCTCCGATTTTACTCAGCTCACTTGGCTGTATGAAGCACCTCGTTTCAGCCTAGTTATAAGCACGTAACCGCATGAACCCTAAAACCCTCAAGAGTACATCCTAGGTTGCATAACCTAGGTGTCACACGCAAGCAAGAAATCAAAGGGTTTTGGGTGCTGAAAACATATATGACCAAAAATCATTTTGCCAGGCCAAGGCTGATTATCCCCCAATTATATCGAACGTGTGTGCTTGCTGTCCGGCAGTCCATGCCCAATATTTTCATCTCTCATATCTTCCACCAATTCAAACCACACACACACAGGTCTCTTAAAAACAACCAATTGACAGGCTCCATTCCCGACGGCATCTCTGTGCTCGTGCAGCTTGATTATCTGTATGTGGAACTTGTACGAACCGAAACATTATCAAAGGTCATGTCAACTCAAAGACCCATGAGAGATTGCCTTCAGTGACATGGCCGACATGGGTATTCAAGCCGATCTTTAACTCGACTCGTCTTTTCCACTTGTTTCAATCGAGTTTCATGGGTAATTTTTACAGATTAATTTCAGTCCAGCCGAATCGAGTTAAACTGCTGAGTTAATAGAGTTCGTCAAAACTCGTTTGGATGGTCCAGTTTTTTCAACTCTACGAGTCTGGCAAAACTTGCCGCATATGCTTGGCAGGTTGGAAATTGGAACTTGAAAAGGAATTGTTTTTTCATGTTGTTGGCTCATTATTTCTCAGTGCAGCCTAAATTCAATCATTCACTGTCGTAAAGACCCCGTCTCTCCTCGCATCAGATCTCTATATACCCTCTCGCATTGAAGCGCACAGCATTTGGGTTTTTCGTATTATTATTATTGTTATGTTACTATCATTTTTGTTAAATGATCTAGGGATTGGGGAACGGATCTCACTCCCTGTCCTCACCAGTCCCCTACAATTCGTTCTAAGGGGGTCGCGGTGGGGGGTGCGGTGAGCGTGGCATTTCGGGTGGGGAGGGGGCAGAGGTAGTTGAGTCGAGTTTAACTCGACTTGGTCGAGTATTTGGTCAAACACTGAACGAGTGGGGTCGACTTACCCAAAAAATCTCGGGCGATTTTAACTCGACATGCCTCGTTTTGCATTCGAGGCTCAGCAAAACGAGTCGAGTAAAACTCGACATGTATTTTGCTCATCTCTGACCAGATGCCACACACAAGCAAGAGACGGTCATACAGTTGGCAGCCAAGTCAGCCTGAATATCCCGCCCATCACAGATCCAGGTTCGACAAAAACCGCAAACTAGGTGTGAGACTTGAGTCGGTTCAGCCAACTAGAGGCAAACATGAAGCTGTTTGCCTCCAACCGAACCGAAGTGCAATTCGGATTTTACTCACTCCTACCTCCCACCATGATGATGTCATTCATCATTTGGGCCAATTATGCGTTGCTCTTTCTCCATCTAGGATTGAGCAATGAACCGAACCTAAGTTCGGTTCGGTCGAACATGTTCGACTATGGTCATACCCGAACTTAAAAACTCATAAAAAATGTTCCGCAAAATTAAAAGAAACAATTGCCCGATCAGTTCAGCTGAAATCTGCTGGTTTGGCCTTCAAACTCAAACAGTTTGAGGGTTAAAAAATGACAAGCCCGGTGAAAAGCGTGAAGTTTAGGGTTGGCGGGCATTTCACAGCCAGCCACCTACCATTTCTAGATTTTAAGTAGAACTTCCGTGCGCAACCGTGCGACTAGGGTCACAAAAGTGCGGAGATTTGCTTGCACTGCACCACACTAGTGCATACTAGGTGCACCAAATTGACTCCCATTTCCGTCTGCTTGGATTGGAATCTTTGAACCTGGTGCAATGCATCGCATTGGGGCGATCGGATCGCCGCGATCTCGCACCACGTCCCAAACATATGCTTTTGATACTGAGTCTATTGGACTCTTCGAATGAAAGTTTTGAACGTGAAAACGTTGGCGAAGCTTTGCACATTGGGTTCAACTTTGCACACAGGTATTTTGTAGACAATTAATCTTGTTTTCTTTCTCGGCTCGCTTTTTTGCATGAACCACCTGGGCTAGTCCTGAGACCGTGGTGCACAAGATGCGCACTTTCTCGGCTCGCTTTTCTGGGCTAGCCCTGGTGCACCTGGGCTAGCCCTGGTGCACACCAGCTCGAGTTAGTCGCGCACCTCGTTGCAAGGAGATGCCTTGAGAGCATGTTTGCCTTCCTCTCTCTCCATTTGTCTTGGGACGGGCTGCTGTTCATGTCTGTCAGGTGTATTCAAGGGAATCGCTTGGAAGGATCTATTCCATCCACTCTCAGCCGCTTGATCAACCTGATGAACCTGTAAGTATCATGATTCATGACTCCAGTACTAGGCTATCCCAGCAACCATTGGCTTGTTGACAGCAGTGGGAGAACCAAAAAAGCGGCTGCACTTCATTAACATCACTGCGTTGCCACATTCGTACAACCTCAAAACGCGCGCCTTGCTTTGGAGCAGCATTCATGCTTTTGGAGCAGAACCCTAGGGGGTAACCAATGTACTGAAATTATTTGGAATGGTGTTTTGTGAAGGAGTTTTAAGCCTTTACAGATCTGAGAGAGTTTTGTGAATTGAGTTTTTCTCTCCCCCATCCCACATTTGTTTCATCTTTCAATTGCCTTGTGTGTTGTGTGGCCATCCATCCGTATGCCCCTTCCCATACCTATTGTCCTCTCAGCCATCATGCTCCCTCTACTTAGTCCCACTATTCCGCAGCTATTTCCATCTCCCTTTCCTCCCCTACTTTCTTTCACTAAGGCTTCTTCCCTTGCTCCCAGTCTAATGCTGCTCGTTCGTCTCTCAGCTCACAACAGCAATGCTTCCCAAATGTTAGCATCTCGACCCATCACACTCTCGTGGGCCATTTGCATATGCTTCCCGACATTCCTACCATGCTTGCTATTTGCAATTTTTCATTTCTTTCAACCCACAACACACAATGCGCACCTTTCTTTCTTTCTTTCATTTCTCTTCACAGGGATCTCTCATCCAATTCCCTGACTGGCCCCATGTTCACCAACTTCGCCTTTCTTGATGGCCTCACCTATCTGTACGAAGCTCGCTAAAATCATTCTTTATTTGCCAGCCCAAGGCTGCGTGGCGCTCTCATGTGCCAAGGCTGCACTGCTCTCTCATGTGCCAAGGCTGCACTGCTCTCCCATGTGCCAAGGCTGCACTGCTCTTTCATGTGCCGAGGCTGCACTGCTCTCTCATGTGCCAAGGCTACACTGCTCTCTCATGTGCCAAGGCTGCACTGCTCTCTCATGTGCCAAGGCTGCACTGCTCTCTCATGTGCCAAGGCTGCACTGCTCTCTCATGTGCTAAGGCTGCACTGCTCTCTCATGTGCCAAGGCTACACTGCTCTCTCATGTGCCAAGGCCGCACTGCTCTCTCATGTGCCAAGGCTGCACTGCTCTCCCATGTGCCAAGGCTGCACTGCTCTCCCATGTGCCGAGGCTGCACTGCTCTTTCATGTGCCGAGGCTGCACTGCTCTCTCATGTGCCAAGGCTGCACTGCTCTCTCATGTGCCAAGGCTGTACTGCTCTCTCATGTGCCAAGGCTGCACTGCTCTCTCATGTGCCAAGGCTGCACTGCTCTCTCATGTGCCAAGGCTGCACTGCTCTCTCATGTGCCAAGGCTGCACTGCTCTCTCATGTGCCAAGGCTGCACTGCTCTCTCATGTGCCAAGGCTGCACTGCTGTGAGGATCTGGTTCAGGAAAGATTGAACTATTGAATAATGCACCTGGGTACAAGGCGAGGCTATATATGGGTTCGACACAAAGGCAGTAACCCTGGTGTTACTAGAAGGTTCCGCGGGTCGCGAAGCGTCCCGAACGGGTCCTTCCCGAATTTGGTAGAAGGCAATTCGGTGGCAACCGAAAAGCATAGAATACAGTGCACTCAACCTAGTTCGGTGCCTATAACTATAATAATATAGTAAAAGCAACGAACCTAGGAAATCTAGCAAAAGCAAGCAAAATAAAGCAAAGCTAAGCTAGATAATGCATAAGAAAGCATAATCAAGCTAGTAAATCATAGCAAAGCCGTCGTACTCTCACACGTCCCCCCCTCAAAACTGGGTGGCGTGAGATACACCCTGCTTGACAAGATAATCCTTGAGAGCACGGCGTGCGTTGCCCATATCAGCTTTTGCAACCCAACTGTCCTCCGACGGGTCATATCCCTTCCAGCGTATCAAGAACTCGAGCGTGTTGCCGCGTCTGCGTCGATGAGCGAGAACTCGTTCCACCTCGTACTCTAGTTCGTCCTCTACGAGAACAGGTGGTGGTGGCGGTAGCTGTCGTCCCGTGAACTATTGGTTGGGGTCCTTGTAGGGCTTCAGCAGCTGAACATGGAAAGCATTGTGAAGCTTCCATGTAGAAGGTAAGCGCAAGCGGAATGTAACTGGTGTCACCATCGCCTCAACGCGAAAAAGACCACAGAAGCGAGGCCGGAGCTTGGACGGAATGTGGGATAAGTCCAAGTTGCGTGTGTCGAGAAGCACCTGATCTCCGACTGCTACTGAGTGATCTCGTCGCTGTCGATCTGCATACTGCTTCTGGGAGTTCTGCATCGTGGTGAGACGTCGCTGAGTCTTCTCCCATAGCTGTTGCATGGTGGTGACGAAGTCGTGTGCGGCTTGGACGTGTGCCGGTGTAGTTGGCTGCTGTGGTGTAAGTGGTTCCCGTCCATAGCACAGGAAGAAAGGAGATTTCCCTGTGGCCGCATGTGAAGCGTTGTTGTAAGCGAACTCAAGCGTCGGTAACTGTAGATCCCAGTGGCTGATGTCGTCTTTGCAAGCTGTGCGCAGTAATTGTTCAACCACCTGATTGAGTCGCTCAGTCTGTCCGTCAGTCTGGGGGTGGTACGCTGAAGACATTGCAAGCTTTGTCCCCAACAATCCCATGAGTTCCCTCCAGAACTTACTAGTGAATTTTGGGTCTCTGTCTGAGATAAGTGTGTGCGGGGATGCCGTGGATGGTGATGATGCAGTCGAAGAAGAGGCGAGCAGTTGCTTCAGCTGTAGCCGTGGCGTTGGTCGGGATGAAATGTCCCATTTTATAAAACTTATCGATCACCACGAGTATAGCATCATGCCCTCGTGAGGTCGAAGGAAGCCCAGTAATGAAGTCGAGGCTAACGACCTGTCATGGCTGCTCAGGTACGGGTAGAGGCTGAAGTAATCCTGCTTTTTTCTGCTTGCTACTCTTCATCCGCTGGCACGTGTCGCATGAGGTGACGAACTGCTGCACGTCTGCTGCCATCCGGGGCCAGAATTAATACTTTGCTATTCCCGCTAACGTCTTGTTGCTCCCGAAATGTCCCGCGTATGCCACATCGTGGAACTCCTCCAGTAAGATCTGTCGGAGCGGGGCATAGTTCGGTACCCAAATCTTTCCCGATCCCTTTCTTACAGCTAAGTCATTCTCCCACTGTAACAGCTTCTGTTTCTCTGCTGTAGCGATCTCTGCGTCCACGGAGTACCCATGTTGGAATAGACTTTTGAGTAGAGGGTTCATCCCGTCGAGCTGGATGCCTGCTACGTGACCGGGGCGGCTCAACGCGTCTGCTTTGTTGTGTAGCCCGGGCTTGTAGACGATGTCGTAGTGGAAGTGTGTCTCCAAGAAGTCCACCCACCGCACCTGTCGCCGTGAGAGCGTCGGCTGCGACTTCAGGTATTTGAGACTGCAGTGGTCAGTATAGACTGTAGTCTTGGCTCCCTCTAGGGAGGGTAATTGTAGGCTGTTGAGGAGTATCCCATTTGTAGGGCGTATCCTTTTTCAGTAGGTTGGTCAGTGGCGTTACTATCTTAGCGTACTGCGGCACGAACCTGTTGTAGTAGTTGGCGAAGCCTAGGAACTGCTGCAACTATTTACGTTCTCAGGAACTTTCCACTTCTTAACGGCTTCGATCTTCCGCGGGTCCACGTGTACGCCCTCCGCACTCACCATGTGCCCGAGAAACTGCACCTTCTTCAGGGCGAAGTCGCTTTTCGACAGCTTCACGTAGAACTTGTTTTTCCGCAGGATCTCGAAGACTTTCCGCAGATGCTCCACGTGCTCCTCCATGGGCTTAGAGTAGATGAGTATGTCGTCCAGGTACACCACGCATTCATCCAGCAGGGGCCGTAAGATATTATTCATCTCCGCCTGGAACGTCGCTGGTGCGTTGCAGAGCCCGAACGGCATCACTAAGTACTCGTAGGAGCCGTATCTGGTACGGAACGCTGTCTTGTGGATCGAGTTGTCCGCCATTTTGATCTGCCAGTAACCCGACCGTAGGTCCAGCTTCAAAAACACCGTCGCACTTCGCAGTTGATCTAAAAGATCATCTATGCGCGGTATGGGGTATTTGTTCTTGACTGTCTGTTTGTTCAGTGCCCGGTAGTCGATGCACATCCGTAAACTACCGTCTGGCTTTGGAGTGAAGAGAACCGGTGCGCCGTAGGGAGAGGTGGATGGGCGGATCAGTTGTTTGTCCAGTAGATACTCAATCTGTTTTTTCATGTCTGTCAGTTCGGTTGGACTGAGGCGGTATGGTGCACGTGAGATGGGTTTCGCACCTGGTTCCTCCACGATCTCGTGCTCGTGGGTGCGCGCTGGAGGTACTCCTGCAGGTAGGTCGTCTGGCATGATATCCTTGTACTGCTCCAACACCTCCTTTACTGCTGCAGGTAGCTCCGAGTTCGGCTTCTCCTCCTCTGCTGCTGCCATAACCAGTGCTAAGTAACCCGTGTTACTCTCATTCACCGTCCGTTCGAACCGCGCCAGTGTCGTTTCAGGAACATCCCCTGTATCCGTCCAGCTTCGCAGCTCCACACGTTTCCCGTTGTTGTAGATACACGCCTTCCGGTTGACCCAGTCAATCTCGGGGTTGAACCGCTTCAGAAAATCACGCCCCAAGATGAAATCTAATCCCTTGATGTTCGTGATCGGCAACGTCGGCTTCCACCTCAACGCCCCTATCTGCAGCTGCAGTGTTGACTCGCCGTGGATGGGAAGCTTCGTACCGTCCACCATCGTTGCTGTAAACTGGGTCTCCTCCGATGACTCTCCAATTTTCTCCAACGTCCCGCGGTCGCACACCGAGTGGGACGCACCACTGTCCACCAGTGCCTGGAGGCGTCGCCCGTTGCAGATCTTCTCGAGTACTAGTGGCTGCTGCCGCTCCGAGTAGCTGTAGATGGTGTTGCTTACAGGATCATAAGGTAGATCAAATGTATCATCCCTTGGTCCTGCGCTCGAAGCTGCTGACTCCATATCAGTTTTCAACTGAGCAGGGTTAGAAGGATTTATCCGAGGCCGATTCAGCTTCTCTAGGGCCTGGAACCTTCCCCTAAGCCTTTGCAGCTGTGTAGGCTCCTGTGGGGAACGGCCGGGAGCCTTTGAACAGGGCTGCTGGGAGAGAATATTAACTCCTCGGAACGCTCGACCCTTATCAGCGCTCCGGAGTAGGGTCCCCATATTACCCGGTACCGGTTTAATTTCTGACTCTCTCTTAAAGTAGGCTTGAAAACCACGAGAAGTAATATTCTTAGTTAAAGTATCTTTATAGGATAACTTTAACGAATTCTTACTTGTCGAGGTGTACGGCTGGAGTTTCCCGGTCGGTGCAGGGTCTTGTTTCGCGGAGTCTCCTTTTGTCTCGGCGATTTCCCCTGGAGCCGGCTGGTCGTGACGTTTTAATTTCGCGCCACCGTATTCTCCTTTTTTCGCCCTCTCCGAAGTTGCCACGTTGTCCGTTTTCTGCTTCGGGGGTGCCACACTGTTCTTGCCCTTCAGCTCCGCACGTACTTTCTTCATTTTCCAACACGCCAAGATACGATGTCCTGTAGCGCCGCAAAATTCGCACGTCGCATTTTTTGCTAGCCACTGCGTCGCATCGTCCTTGTCGTTCTCCATCGGGTCGGCAGTCGTGGGTGGTGCCAATCGCTCCATGCCACTATTTGGCTTGTTGCGTCGTGTTCCGTAGTAGCTACTGTTCAACGCGTCGAACTGTTCGATCAGTGCTGCCCGAAACTGCGCCCACGTCTCTTCGCCTTGGACAAATCTATTGCTAATCCACTCTAGAGCTGGGCCTCGTAACAGTGTTGCTGCGAGCCGTATGCGCAATGCGTCTTGGTTGAGGGTCGTGCATCCAACGGCTTCGAAGAAATTTTCTAGTACAGCTACAAATCGACGGACGTCGCTCCCTTTCGCTCTAGGATCGAACGCGTCTGGTCGCCTCGGCTTTACTGCTTCGAGATTAAATGTAGCTGCTGCCGTTGTCGCAGGTACAATTATCGGTGTCGCCATCGTTGCTTCTGCTGCTGCTTCGGCTACCGATTGGTTCGCAAGGAGTTTTTCGAGTCGTGGGAGCGCCGCAAATATCTGCTTATGCTCAGCACGTAACTCCGCAAATTTTCGTATAAAGAAAACTTTATTTCCCTCCCTATTGGCGATATACAGAAAGATGCGCGATGAAAATAATTGAATTACGGGTGCTGGTCGACTTACTGCGAGTCGAATCGACTGTAGAATCGACGAGCTCGAATTCTGTAGGTTGCGCAATTCTCCCCTAGGCGAAATTCGCGTTCGATCTGGGCCGTTGAAGAAAAACTCGATCCGACGCTCCAAATTCCAACTTTTTTGGGCGAAAATTTCTGGGCCGTTGAGATTCGAATCGATCGAACGGTTGAAATTCCAACCTTTTCACCAATATTCCTGAGGGGTGTTCAAAACCGAATCGAGGGGGACTTAGAAAAAATCGCGCGGAACTGGTTTTACATACCCGTATCGGCGCTTTCGTCGTCGCCCCCGCGGTTTTTAAAGGCCGGTTTTTAGCGGAAGAAGAACCCGAGTGTAAACAGGTCTGATTACCAAGTGTGAGGATCTGGTTCAGGAAAGATTGAACTATTGAATAATGCACCTGGGTACAAGGCGAGGCTATATATAGGCTCAACACAAAGGCAGTAACCCTGGTGTTACTAGAAGGTTCCGCGGGTCGCGAAGCGTCCCGAACGGGTCCTTCCCGAATTCGGTAGAAGGCAATTCGGTGGCAACCGAAAAGCCTAGAATTCGGTGCACTCAACCTAGTTCGGTGCCTATAACTATAATAATATAGTAAAAGCAACGAACCTAGGAAATCTAGCAAAAGCAAGCAAAATAAAGCTAAGCTAGATAATGCATAAGAAAGCATAATCAAGCTAGTAAATCATAGCAAAGCCGTCGTACTCTCACAACTGCTCTCTCATGTGCCAAGCCTGCACTGCGCTCGCGCATCAACTCACTTTCATAATCTGTGTGATTTTCCAGTCTTGTTACCTCAATTGCTGTTCTAGAGCATGATGGGATGTCTTGTTGTCTTTTCCTCATGTACTATGGTGCACTGCACTACACCTTTTAGTTGCTGCCGTGCATATTTTCTCTTTAGGTATTTCCTATCCCCTTGTACCAGCATGCCATCTATATTCTCTCGGGATAGATGCACGCGTCTGCCAGGTTCCCCCATCTCATGCATGCTGCACTGAACGGATGGATGCATGCTTTCACGTGGATGGATGGATGCATGCTTTCATGTGGATGGATGGATGCATGCCTTCATGTGGATGGGTGGATGCATGCTTTCATGTAAATGGGTGGATGCATGCCTTCATGTGGATGGGTGGATGCATGCCTTTGAGTGGATGGGTGGATGCATGTTGCTGCATTGCTTCATGCATGAGGCTAACAGGGCTTACTCCCACACTTCCCATCCAACCCATGTGAGCAGAAACCTCTTTGATAATAACCTCAGCGGGGAAATTCCAGCTGAGATTGGAGGCCTCACTAGATTGAAGTACTTGTAAGTAGGCTTGAGCAAGTACCAGCCCGAACCAAACTTGTAACTCGTGAATACGCGTGAGCTAGCTCTGAACCCAAATCGGATTGGCAAGTTTTGAAAAGGCTTGAGCAAGTACCGGATCCTAAGTGAACCTGGGAGCAGTGTGAGAGAGGCTGATCTAATGCCGGGGTTCTGGCAATATTCCGGTTGAACTTAAAATGAGCGTCTTCCCATTTAACCCTTTTCATCTCCCCTTTTCCACTGCAGCAACACCTCTGGCACCAACCTCACATGCCCACCTGATCGCACTGCCTGTGGCGTGAAACAATCTCCCACAACATCCTTTTGCCGCATGTGTAAAACCTTCTGCAATACTTGCACCAACCAATCTGCAGGCAAGTAAATACATACCAGCCAAATATGTTTTCAGCAAGGAACACAGCGGCACACGACGTGATGCATGGCGGAATGCGTTTTGGAGTTGGGAGTGTGGGTTCCATAGACAGCAAGCGACGCATGGCAATGCACGGGAATGCATGGCATTGCACGGCACAAGGCATGACTTTAATATGAACCCCTCACTTGCTAACTGTGTTAGTGATCAGCTTGCAGCAATCCCCACTACGTGCGTGGATCTATGCTCATGTCATTTTGCAGAAATCAGCAGCGGCAGCAGCAGCAGCAGCAGCAGCAGCAGCAGCGGCGGCGGCGGCGGCGGCGGCGGCAGCAGCAGCAGCATCGAATCTTCTTCAACAGGAGGTGGAGGTGGAGTGCCAGTGGGAGTCATCATTGGCATCGTTGTTGCTGCTGTGGTCTTTCTCCTGCTTCTTGGCACCACTCTGCTTTACGTCTGGAACAGAAAGAGTACGTTTCGATTAACCGGACTCTGTTGTTGCAGCTGTCTGTCGCTGTTTGCAATCGTGGCAATACGTGATGAGCAAGGTCTTTGCCAGATTAACCTAGACATGGCCATGGAGGTGTGCAAGTTTAGTCATGCTCGACTCAACCAAACTCGAGCCAAAATCAACAGCTCAACTCTCCGGCCTTGAAATGAAATGTGTGAGATTGACTTGCCGCAAGCAGTGTGACTCGGCGCACGCATCTACTTCAGTCTCAAGCTTACAGGCCTGTATGCCTCCTTGTCGTGTGCCCCCAATTCGTGCTGAAGCCTGTTTCCCTTCACCCATCTGCCCGCTTTTCACTTCTGACTTTCCGAGCAGGCTCAGGGAGGAGCTTGGCTCGGGGAGCCAGTCTAGCAGCGTCGCATTGCACGGAGTTCTCTCTTGCGGAGGTCCTCAAGGCCACCAATGACTGGTCCCCCAACAACCGGCTGGGCTCGGGTGCCTTTGGCGATGTGTACAAGGGCGTGTCTCCCCGTGATGGTTCCACCTTGTGGGCTGTGAAGCGCGCCAAGCTGCTCGACGCGGACTTTCAGAAGGAGGTCAGTCAGCCTCAGATATGGAGGTGCCATATCTTCTTGCCAGCATTTTTTTTTTTTTCCAGTGTGCCATCGTAGGTCTGGTGAGGCATGCTAAAATGGTATCTTTCATTGCCAAACTGCATGTCTGTTTTACCGTTCAGCCTATTCAAACACCGAGTCACGACTAGACTAGCCTCTAACCTCTCGTATCTATGAAAATCTGAGAAAAAAAGGGGGGGAGGGGAGGGGGGTTGGGAAAACTGTGTGTGTGTTTTTTTTTTCTTTCTTCCTTTTGTTTTTTTTTTTTTTTTCTGCACCTCATATTATCATGCCTACATGACTATTTTGTTTCTAGTGTACCCTGCTTCTCGATCTGTTCCTTCATCCCTGCTGCTCAATCTTTTTCTGCTCAATGGATCAGATCCAGCAGATGGCCGACAAGAACCACCCCAACATTGTGAAGCTCCTTGGCTTTGCAATCGGAGGAGACTTGAGGACACGTCCCGAGCAAGTTCTAATCTATGAATACGTGCCCAATGGCGACCTTCACAAGTGGATTGGCCCAAGTATGTGTGCCACTCATATGCTGCGCCACCCATTTGCTATGCCACCCATATACTGTGCCACTCATACTGCATATCCTTGCAAAGGCAAAGCGCTCTCTGATTCTAAAGCAGCTTGCCACTTATACACTGTGCAACACTTAAGCTGTACCATGCATCCTTGCACATGCAGTCTGACCTCTACCACTCACCCTCTGCCACTCACCCTTTGCCACTCACCCTCTGCCACTCATCCTCTGCCACTCACCCTCTGCCACTCATCCTCTGCCACTCATGCTGCCATAAATCCCTTGCAGAGGCAGAACGTCCTCTGACTCTGAAGCAGCGGCTGGACATTCTCATCGGCATGGCACGGGGCTTTGAGTACCTTCACGGCTTTGGCATCGTGCATCGCGACATCAAGCCTACCAACATCCTCATCACCGATAACATGCAGGCAAGCTTGGTTGCGGTGGGTCCTTTATGTATTTGATACAGCAACTTCTCGAGTAGTGTGAGATGAAGCCCGCCAACGTCCTCATCACCAAGAGCATGCAGGCAATTTTTTGGCTGCTTTCTTATAGTGGTGGCAGTCTTTCTTCAGATTCCGGTCAGATTATGCAACCATACTAGTGTATCCGTTCCTGTTCACTCGTACACGTATATGATTTTGTCATACTCTGTTCCTGATCTCTCATGCTACAACAACTCTAATCACAATGACCAGGCAAAGATTGCAGACTTTGGGCTGGTGAGGATGGGGGAGGGCACGAGTGTGGGCACAACACGCATCATGGGCACACCAGGCTACGTGGATCCCGCTTATTCCCGCACGTCCAAGGCCACCACCGCTAGTGATGTCTACAGGTGAGGCAGGAGACTCTTGGAATGGTTGCAGAAGTCCCTTGGAAAGGTTGCAGAAGTCCCTTGGAAAGGTTGCAAGAGTCTATTGAAAAGCATTGCGGGAGCCCATTGCGGTAATCCCTTACGAAGCATTGCAGAAGTTTCTTCTAGTCATTGCAGTAGTCCCTTGAAAAGCATTGCAGTGGTACCTTCGAAGCATTGCCAGAGTCTATTGAAAAGCATGAAAGTAGTTCCTTTAGATTGTTGCATGGATCCCTAAAAATCATTGCAGGGGCCCCTTTAGAAAACATTGCAACAGTCCCTTGTAAAATATTGTAGGAGGCACTTAGAATCATTGCAAGCAACCTTCGGGAGGCATTTCCACAAGCGATAAGAAAGAAAGCTCCATTTACTATGTGTCTAGATTCCATGAACCTGTGCTCAATGCATTTAGCTGGCAAGATTTATCTTAAGTGCCACCTCTTTCTCTGCATCCTGTGCCTCTGTGCCGTAATTTTCTTTTCAGCTTTGGAGTGCTCATGTTGGTTATCTTGACAGGGCGCCCACCATTTCTAGGGACAGATGGAGAGGGCCAGCAGGTCACTGAATGGGTGAGCACCCCATCCACGAACCGGCCTGTTCTTCTTTTATGTGATAGTATCATCTCATTACGCACCTTACGCACTTCCAATGTTGCTGTGGTCCTCTCAGAGCCTGCAGGTGACTTCATGGGTAAGAACCATTTTGGGTTTACTCAATAGATTAGCTAGTGTCTTCTCAATGGCATCAAAAGAGTTCCTTCCACACCTCCGTAACTAGGTAGCGTCTGCTCACCTCACTCTGCTTGTGCTTTCTCCCACCCCCTCCACCTGCTCCACTCCCTCAGGCATCAGGGTGCCTCTCCTCGGGAGACATGGAAAGCCTCATGGATCCCACCATGGACGCCCCTGCAGATGCTGTACTACGTGTCGCTCAGCTCGCCCTCGCCTGCACTGGAGAACGCACTGCAGACCGCCCAAGCATGCTGCAGGTTGCCAACGAGCTGCAGGCCATCCGGGAGGAGTGGGTGGGGAAAGAGGAGCTGAGCGCGGCTGTCAAGGTGGATGCGCAGGTGCAGGAGTTGAAGGATGTTGTCAGCATGAACAGCCTCGACACCGAACTTCAGATGATTGAATACAACTTGGGTGAAAGTTACCATAAGTTATAGTTTTGACAAGTGGCACTTTTACTGATAGTGCTCGAGAATGTTAACGTTTTGCTGGGATTGCTTTTCAGTTTTGATTGTATGACTTCAGAGACCCCATTATAACTTCAGATAACTTCAGAGACCCCTTCGCCTTATCAAAGCTATGTTATATCCTGCTTGCTTTAGCTACTGTATTCATTATTATAAACTGTTGGTGGTGCACCTTCTTTGTTAGATTGCTATATGTACCGTGTGTGCTATAGTGAACCCCACCATTCTCCCGATCCTTGGTGACAACTCTCTCGTTATTCCTTGTGGCGTAGGCTCCTAAGCCTAGGCCCTAGCCAAACCCTAGTATGTAACTACGCTCGTACGTTGACACGCCATCCCTTAGGGTTGGGTGGGGGTTGGGGGGGGCGACCTTAAGGAGGGCGCCAGTACGAGCCCCGACCTTGGACGTTTTGCAGCGCCCCGTGAAACCGCACACGTGCTTGACGTCACCACTTGGCACCAAATCAATAAAGGCCTCCTTCATCCCAATCAGGTGGTGCGAGCAGTCGCTGTCGAGCAGGACCACCGCTCGGATCGCCTGCACAGCTGCCGCCATCGCCTAGAAGTTCTCGCCAACCTCCAGTGCCAGCGAGACGGTCGGTTCCACGATGCCGTCCAGCGAGCACGACGCCTCCTTGTCGTCTCGCCCCTTGCTGCCGCCAGAAGAGGAGTCAGCGTCCTTTGCCGAGGTCGACGACTTGGTCGACTGCTTCTCCGTCCGCGGCTTGCTCTCCCGACGAGGGCGACGCCTGGCCGACCTCCCTCAGCCTCTCTTGGCGTCGTCGTCGTCGGAGTCACTGCGGTCGGGTTACTCGAAGGAGAGGTGGTTGGGATTGCCGCACAGTTAGCATTTCCAGCGTCGCCCTCCTCCTCCTCCATGAAAGATGTCCTTGCTGACTTTCCCTTGTCGGCATCCTTGGCCAGCTTCCCACCTCCGCTTCCACCATTGCCAGGCTTGCCCCGCTGCCTCGGCCAACCACCTTGCTTGGTCAGGGTGACGTATTTTGCCAGCGGCAGGAGCTCCATGGACTTGTCGGCCTCCTGCATTGCCTTGTCTCTGAGGATATACGAGGTCAGCGAGTCCTCGTTGAACGATTCCCTCACGCCCGGCACCACAATAAGCTGCTTCATCAGGTTGTAACTGCTCGGCAGCCCCTTCAGGGTGTGCAAGATGTACAACGCCGTCGAATACTGCACGCGGGCCATCCTCATGTTGACTCATGTAGTCAGTCGTCGTCTCCTGCTCGCCCATCCGCTGGTGCATCATCCGCTCCTCACGCTGGCCGATGTACAGGTCGACCGTGACCTGGTACGTCAACTCGATGAAGTGCCACGCCTCGTGGTCAGCGTCCAAGTAGTCCCTGCACGACTTCATGGCAATCTGAGCGCCTGACGAGCAGCACCGCAAGATGAATGTGAAGGCCAGCAGCTGCACGGCGCGAAACTCCGCACGCAGCTCGAGGTCTCCGGCGGCATCGTCACGGTGCCGTCGTGAAGCACATCAGCCTGGCCATCTCCAGCTGGGGCTCGATGGCCTCCGTCTACGTGAGGAGGTCGTGGCGGCCGAACAGCTGGGGGCTGACGGCGATTCTGTCTGGAGTAAACATAAGTGGCCGTATGTGAGAGTACGAAAAAAAATTGCTGCATTTTATTATGCATTATCTAACTTCGATTTATTTTATTTTTGCTTTACTTTTTAGGTTTGTTGCCTTTATTCTAGTTATTGGCGCCGAACTAGGTTGAGTACACTGAATTCTAGGCTTTTCAGTTGCCACCGAATTGCCTTCTACCGAATTCGGGAAGGACCTGTTTGGAACACTTCGCGACCCAAGGAACTTTCTGGTAACACCAGGGTTACTGCCTTTGTGTCAAGCCTATATATAGCCTTGTCTTGTACTTAGGTGAGCCATTCGATAGATTTTTCTTTCCTGTAAGTCAACGCTATCCCACACCGTAAGTCGGCGAGATCCCACCCGCCGTCGCATGGGTCGCCGACGCCGGCATCACTCCGCTTCGTCGTGTTTTGACGTCGTCCGGTAAGGACCCTGCAGCCGCCGACGACTGAAGCCCTCGCACCTGAACGTCGCCGACTTTACCGGCATGAATCACTCCTTTCTGCCTCGTCGTGCCTTCCGCACTATTGCCGACATGGTCACCGGCGTGGGCGCCTGCGCCGACGCCGCCCTCGTTGTTCACCGGTCGAGGAGAGGCAGGTCGAGAAGGGTGCTATGCTGCCCACAAAGCGCGAATGTTTGCCTGACGACCGCCAAGGGGAGAGTGTCCTTGTACTCGCCCGCCAAGCGGCGTCTCCTCGCATCCTCCAGCTGTGCCTCCAGGGTGTCCACCACCCACTCGTCACCTACTGCGCCTACCAGCTGCCGGCCTACGAACAAAATGGTTATCATGCAACTAAGTCGACAATACCAAAGGTAAGTTACAGTGCTATCCACGCTCACCGCACCATGTGGAGATAACTCTAGTGACGGGAGCTTGACTACGGGGAAGGCACGGGGTAGGAGTAATCTCTGCTTTACTTGGTTGTTTCCTTGTGCATACACTGCTTGCTGGTTTACAGGAAAAGTTGACAACGAAGGTTCATAATGGTAGCAAAAACATTGGCATGCAAGACTACATCAGAGCTAGCTAGCATGTTGCTCGACCTCTAGCGCAACACGGTCGACCGCGTTCCAGCTCAGCAAATCTCGCACCGCTCCAGCGCTGCAGAAAAACGACTCGCCAACGTTGCAAGTCCATGGTGTGCCAACGCTGCAGCAAATCAGCTGCACAGCGTTGCACCCGCAGGACAACGGTGCACCTGCTTCGCAGGTGCGCGCAGCTGATTGGCGTGCTAGGCCTCGTCACGCACATAGTGAATACATTCCGCCAGCGACTGCGCCCACCAGCCACGTCGACCTCGAGATACTATTTCAGAGGTCGGCCTCGCAGAAGCCACCCCGACGACCTTTGCACTTGTCGCCCGAGTAACTCGGTGGACCGGGCAACCACACCTGGTCGGCCAGCCCTGTCGGTCGCCGGCTAAGCAAGGCCGGCGTCCCTAAAGTCGACACAAGCAAGTCGGCACCTCCCAGGCCAGCCTCGCCAGGTCGACCACCCGCAGCTCGGCGCCCTACTACCAAGCGCCTTCCTGCTCGATGCCCCTATCTAGGTAGACGTCGGCACCCCCTCGTCGACCACCGTGCCTAGTCGGCCGTCGTGTTCCCCCGTTGTCGGTGGTGTGGCAGTGGCCTCGTGCAGGACGACCAGCCCGTCGCCCTGCATGCAGAAGTAGGCGTCGGCTCCGCCCAAGCGAGGACGGGGCCAACCACAACTCCCATTGACAGTATTCATGATGTCAGCTACTTGCAGCTTCACCAAAGTAATGTCATTACCACCCAAGGTTTTTTCCGCTTCCTTCAAGCTCAGTTTCACCTTAGGTTCCTTTAACACCTCAGACCCATCAGCTGCCATGCTAGTCTCATTCATCAAAATGACTTCTCCTCAGCAGCTTCATCCTTCAGCTGCACCTTGGCATAAAGTTTCTTTTTTTTAGAGAGTCAGTCTTGTGCACTCCCTTCTCCTTAACCACACCAGCAGCATTGACTTTGCTCCCCATGGCTTCTGCACCCTTTTCCACATTAGCCTTGGATGCGTTCCTCTTTTCAGCTGTCGCAAGTTGAGCATTAACTTGCTTCAACTGCTGCACCAGAATCTCCATTATCATTTTCAACTCCTTGATCGTTTCAGCAGCCACTGCAGCACACTCCCCCTTGAAATTGCACATTCCATTTAGCTTCTCAGGTACCACAAGAACGTGCCACAACTCATTATGGAGGTCTTTGTCATCATGCATGTCCTACAGCACGCGATCACCGAGCTGACCCTTCAGCTCCATTATTTGATGTACACACGCCTGCAATCCCCATTTTCCTTAGGAAAAACAAGCTATCTTGCAGCTCCGGCACCAAAAGTGCGCCATCACTTACAAGTCTTCCCATCAGCTCCCTTGAAGGCTGCATTGCCGACTCCCGAGACTTTCATCTTGTGCCCACATCCGGAATTCATCTCGGAAACGCTGGTTGCACCAATCTTGTCTAACAGGTCTGCCCCTCGGGGCCATTTGATGTGCTGCTCCGGAATCTACGGTCCATGTGTTGAGGGGTTGGGGCTCTACTCCCTCCTTGACAAAATGCCTTCTCATCTCCTCTACTTCTTAGTAGATGGAAAAAACTGTCCAGGAGCTTGTTCTCAACCTTGTTCCCTTCTTTTGCCGTCTTTGCTATATAACCAACATCATTGTATTGGTTCTTCGTAACCACAGATTGACGGATCCTCTTCTTGCCAAGCCTGATGAGCATAATCGTGAGTACGTTGAACTTGTGGGCTGCCTCATACACCTGATGATCTGCATTTCAGCGTCTAGCTTGGTTCGTTGCATCTTGGAGACAGCGTCCTATCCACTGGGAGGCCGCTAAGAGGGTTGTGCGCTATCTGGTGAGCAGATCAAGCATAGAGCTTGTGCTTGTGGGGTGACAACCATTCAGCCTTGTTGGGCACAGTGGCATGTCGTGGGCATTCGGCGTTTAACATCAAAAGGTTTTCCCTGGGCTACTGCTTTAGTTTTGACTATGGAGTTGTGTCGTGGAGGTCGACTCGTGCGTCATCAGTCGCTCTTCCTAGCTGTAATGCTGAGCTGTATGCCATGGCCATGGCTGCACAGGAGTTACGTTGGCTCACTGTTCTGATTACTGACCTGGGTGAGCCTCCTTGTACTACCCCAGTACTCTTCGCTGACAATAGGCCCAAGATCTTGTTGTGTGAGGAGCCTCGATTGGTGGGGCATACAAACACGTTAAGCCGTAGTACTTCTTGCGTGAGTTTCAACAGCGCGGCCAAGCACGCGTTGTTAGCTGGCCTCAGAGGCCAACACCGTTGACATTTTCACCAAGGCACTTCCGCCTTGCGACCATCAG